TAGGGCAATGCATGGCCATGTGAACAGAGGCTCCATCCAGGTGGGCATTGATTCGTTGCTTAGAAATCTTTGAATATGATTACTTATTCTGCATGCTGTGGCTGTATGTGATAGTCCACATTTCTCCATCACAATACATTAACTCTTCTCTTCTCAAAATACATTTAGATCTTTAGTAATCACTTGTTATACCACTCTCTTAGCTTCATCAATAAAGGAAATAGACTTATCTGGTGTTATTGATCTTCATGAACCTATGCTTTTTTCCAGTCCTAGCTGATTTCCTTTTTTTAAGTTCTCTAATGTAGTTCTGTCAGTCTTACCAGGCCATAAATTCTAAAATCAACTGTTTCTTCCCCTCCCTTCCTATGCTTCCCTTTGTTTTCTGAAAACTGTGATGATGTTGCCATCCCTCCTTCTTTGGGTACCTTTCCTCTTGTCCATGATTGTTTAAAGATTAATGACAATAGCCCTGTAGGGCCCTGTACTTTTATTTGTATTTTTTTATTTAACAAGGAACATGGATGCTGTGTTATATTACAGGTCTTTTTTGTGTCCATGGATAAGATTATATGATGGTTATAGTTTGTTTATTGAAATTATTCATGTTGATTGTGTCCCTAATATTGAGCCATTCTTGTATTCTTGATACAATTCCTTTGATTATAGTCATTGCCTTTAAAAAATGTATTGCTGTACTCTGTTGCTGACTTTTTATTATTGAATATTTTTGCATTTATATTTGTTAGTGAGATTGTTTTTTATAATTTTCTATTTTTCTTGTATTCATCATGTTGCCCCAGGCAACTTTTAGTTGGTTATCTGTGTAGATCAAGAGATTTCCCACTCTGATAGAATTGCAGGTCCTTAAGATACTGACGTATTTACTAAGTAAATATTAGAATCAAGACCACATGAGTTTCATAAAAAGAATTGAGTAGCATGCCATCCTTTTTGCTGTCTAGAGATTGTTTATCTAGTATGGCAGTTCTTTGAAGGTTTGGAGAAATTTACCCATAAACTTTTCGGGAACATGTGTAAAGTCATTAAAGAAAATGACTTAACATTTCTTCCTCTGAAATTGGTCTAAGCCTTTTCTTGTCATGTCCTTTTTTTTGGTAATTTATATTTTTTCCAAATGGTCTTCTATTTCATTAAAGTTCTCCAATTTCTTAGCATGTAGCTTATATATAATATTCCCCGAGGGCATTTTAAATTTCTTTTGTTCTTCTTGTGATCTCTTTTTTTTTCTCACTTGTATTTTCTTTCTCCTTTGTTATTGAAATTCGTTAATGGTTTGTCAGTTTTATTGGTTGTATTTTAAAAATTCAGCTCTTGAATTAATTGGATCCAATTCAATTGATTTAATAGAATTTTTCCATTTTCTAATCTTTTTGCTTTTGTCTCTCTCTTTTTCTACTTCCCTTTGTACTATTATTACTTGGTTCTTTTTCAGATTTCTTTAGGCACCAACTTAATATAGTTTTTATTTTTCCCTCATTAATGTTGCATGCATCCCACAGATTATGATAAGTAGCACATTAGGGTTATCAATATCATTTAAGTACAGATATTAAAGCTTAAAACTACTAAGATTTTTGGGACACCCTATATTCTGTTACCATTTTAAAAAATTCTTCTCTAATCCCATAATTGTATAATTGTTTCCAACTAACTTTTTTTTTTTAACTTTACATGATTCAGCAAGCATTTATTAAGAGTCTGCTGTGTGCTACACTTGGCAATATCAGACAAAAATGAAATAGCCCCTACCCTCAGGAATTTTATATTAGGGAGGGAGAAGGCAAGGGGGCACAACAGGCACACACATAGGTAAATAAAGTCATTTGGGGCAGGGTGGAAAAGCATTGACAATTTGAGGGATTAGGGATGGTTACCATGTAGGGGTAGAGCTAAGCCTTAAATGGTTGAGAATTAGAGCCACCAGCCTAGGGGACAGCTTCATTCATGCAACATGCATCTATTAGTTGTATACTATGTGCTCAACACTGTCCTGAATTCTAGGGCTATTAATCACTTTATTTCTAGTTTTATTGAGTGATAATTTGATCTGAACCTAGGTCTTAATGACTCCAAGGCTGACTCTGACGGCAGATGTTACATGAAATTTTTGTAGCCTCTCCATTGTGATGCCCCACTTTTAGCTGGTTATTTCTTATCACATTAAAAAACAACAACTGACCATTTAAAAAATATGCTTAGTCACAAATTTTCACCTTTTCCCTGTTATAATATAAAATATCTATAAAAAAAGTCTAACTTATTTGTATTTTTCTTTTGAAACTTACATATCTTGCTTTGTAGTCTTAACTATAGATAATGACAGGCTACTAGGCACTATAAAAGGTAAGGGGGAGAGAGGGGAGGAGAATTAAGCTAAATCAATCCCTAACTAACCTGAAGGAGTTTATCAACTAGTATAAGAATAGAGAAAAAACACCATATTGTCTTTGTTTCAAAGGAGGATTCATTTGGAGGTGGGATGGCAAAGGTAGGGACATATATAGTGAAATTATTGTGTTGTAAAATATCATTTGTAAAACTTGAATTCCTGCACATCCCTTTTCATTTGTGTTAACCAGATAAAGAGAGAATATGAATCTAATTTCTTTGATGTGTTTCTTATCCAGTTTATTTTTCATATTTCTTCCCCCTCTTTTGGACCTAATTTAATGTAGAACTTAGTAGTTTTGTTCTTTAAAATTATTTTAATAGCAGATTTTTTAAAAAGATCAAATTGGAATGGTTTCTGATCTATTCATTATCAATTGGATTAGTTTTGTTCTTTCCCTTTGATTCTGTGGATTTTGTTATTGTTTAATGTATTATGAGGAAAAGGACCCATGGAGGCACCATGGTGTAGTGGAAAAGGTCCTGGCCTTGTGGTCAGGAGACCATGGTCCAGTCCTGATTACCCTGCTTACCAGCTGTGTGATCCTGGGGAAGATGTGTCTTCATCTGAAAAATGAGGATGTTGAACTACGTGAGCTTTAAGGCCCCCTTAAGTTCTAACAGCCAATGAGTGGAAGGATCCTTTTTGCTCCTTGATTTTTTGAGGGTCACTGTGACCCTCCCAGAGGGTCACCTCTGGCTTTAAGTGACTTGAAGTTGAAGTGCCCTTGGTTGTACTTTATCTGAGCTTGGGGACAAACTCAGTGAGGCTGACGAACTGTGTACTTGCCATGTCTTCCCCTCGTCTTGAAGTGACGTTCCTTATGGACCCTTTCCTGTTCCATCCTTCCCAGTGTAAAGATTATTATCCTGGGTAGGAAAAACAGAAGAAAAAGAGAAGTCGAGTAGTTCTGCTTTCTCTCTGTTGTCTAGTATTATATGTTCTATCCTGCTTTGATTCTCCTTTTTTCTCTAATATGGCTGTGCCTGCTGAGCAAAAACACTGGTGGGTCCATCTGAGCTAGAAAGGCTTCAAACCTGGGTCCAGCTTAAGACTGGGTGTGATTTTTGGGGAGGTCTGAAGACCAGGCTAGATCAGTTAGATCAGAGGCTTATCACAAGGTTGACCAGAGAGTGATTCATTCTTTGACTCTAACCCCTCATGAAGACCTTCTACTAAAGCGGTAGAAAAGTCTTTATTAGTGAAAGAGCCACCCACCCCAGGCAGCTCCTCAATCCTTGAAGTACCAAAGGGTCTGCTTTCAGGAGAGTGTTCTCACCAATAGGTGCCTGGTCAGTTGAAGTCCTCTCACAACCACAGGGCCCTGCTATGCCAAGACCATCATTTTTTCTTCTGGTGAGATGGTCGTTAATGTACCTGCACTGTAATCTGACTTCTTTTTCACCTTCAATCAGTCCAAATCCATGTGCTGTCTCTCCACGTGCTTCCCATCACTGTTCATATATCTCCTCCCATGTGTATGTTCTGAATGTGTAGTATTGCTCCCTGTCCCTTTTCACTACTCTGCTGCATGTGGATAAGGCACACAGTTGCCTAGCCACAAGCTAGACAAAAGTCACATCCCATCTGGGGTAGCTTTGTGATACCTGGAAAGTCAACTTTACCTCTTTGCTTTAAGATCTGTATTTCATCTAGTTTATTATCCACACTATGTATGCATTTGCAGATAAATATCTGAGGCTGTGATTTTTTTAGAAATGAGTGCCTTTCTTGGATATTGTCTCCTGAGATCAGTATGCTTGTCCTCATCACTAGTATCCTGCCGTTGCCATGCCTGCTACTCTGTGGTAGTATCTGGAGTGCTGAATATTTATAGGTAGTTTAAAGCTCTCTTGATCGAGTCTGGCTCTATAGACCCTCACTTTACAACCCCTGACATGTAATTGGTTGCATACCACACATGAATCAATGGAATGCATTTATTTTGCGTACTTAGTCAGACATCCTGATTTGACCCATTTGGGTAATTACTATTTTTGAATGATGAAACTGAAGGGGAATTACTACTCACAAGATAGACAAAGGCCCATCTTTCCTCTTCCTGTCTCGGGGTGGGGTGGGGGAGCTGTGAGCATAGCAATCAGTCAGGTACAGGATTACTTACTCATGGTACAGAGTTCATGGGACTCAATGGAGAAAGCATGGCCTCTACAGGCCTTCATCTAATTGGAAACTACTTTGAGTATGTAACCTCTTGATTTGTGATGGGGCTTACTGTCAGTGTTTCAAATTTAGACACGTACATTACTCTGTGTGTATGTGTGTGTGTGTATGTGTGTGTGTGGGGGGAGAGAGAGAGAGAGAGAGAATGAAAAATAGAACTTGAGAGAGAGAACATGTGTATATTTGCCTTGGAAAAGGGGATGGTGCCAGAAAAGCCTTATTTCATGCATAAACAGTTTAGGCTTATAGATTTTTTAGCTTTCTGTTCTCATGCATGTATAATTTCAGTGAAAATATTTGTTTTGAAGTTTCTTATGAAATGAGTCCTTGATTCCATTTCAAAATTACTGAGAATCATATTTTTGTGAATGTGCTAATTTGATGATCCATTTTTCCTAATTAGGCAGCAGATGGATTTCTCTTTGTGGTCGGATGTGACAGAGGAAAGATACTATTTGTTTCAGAGTCGGTCTTTAAAATCCTCAACTATAGCCAGGTATTGTTCATATTCTTGTTGATGATGAGCAATTTTTTAGCCTTCATAATTGTGGTGATGAGATACCCTACAAAGTTCAGCTCTTTGCCACAATAATTATAGTATACAAGCTGCATACAAAATGCTTTGACTTTTTACTAATATCTTCCCTCTGCAAATTACAGCTTCTCTGAGGGTAAGTTAATTAAACCTGGGGATCTGTGAAAGTGTATTTATCCATGGGAATGTGTGATTCTTCTCATTAATGAATCATTTCTTTTTTTTACTACGATAAAATAAACAGCTCAATTCCATGTTAGGGATAAGGAAGCATAAGGGAGAAAAAGGAGTACTGAATATGAAAATCATAGGACACATGTGCACATGCATGAAACAGCATGGTGTTCATAAATGAATGGGAAAAACACAGGATATTGAGTCAGAAGACCTGGGCTATAGCCTTGGGTCTGCCAGTTACTACCTGTGTGACCTTGGGCACATCCTTTCATCTCTCTGAACTTAGTTTCCTTCTCTGTAAAAATGAGGAAGTTGATTGAAATGCTCATGTTTGTTGGAATCCATTAAGTTCATATTAAAAAAGAAAATTTACTTTAAAAAAAAAAGGTGACCTCTAATGTCCTATTTGTCTTTGAATGTGGTGATCCTTAAGAGCTTTTCTTTATAGTAAGATTATATATGCAGAAAATTGCAGAGTTATAATTGAAACCCTAAAAAATAATAATTCTTTGGATTTTATAGTACTTTTAACTTTTTGGAAGTGCCTTCACATGCAATGTATCATTGTATCCTCACAATAATTCCAAGATAGGTAGAATTTATTATCATAACAGTTTTTACCATAACAATATCCTAAGGAGAAAGACCTAGATCAAAAGATCACATAACTTCCTAATATCATACAGGTAGTGAGTGGTAGAGCAAGGCCTTGTACCCAGGTCTCCTGACTTCCCGCCCTGTGCTCTTAGAAGAGATCTGTCCCATCAGAAGGGGAAAAAAATGGCAGAAATTCAAAGGAAGAATATCTCCCAAGGAAGCTCCATTAAAGCCTTTCTCCAGTTCTTCACCTTGACATGGAAATGACCTTAAACTTTTGAACCTGTGCTAGTGAACTTTAAGGTTTGGAAGGTCCTAGCAAGCTGGAAGACTTCAGGTACTAGCTCAGTGATAAGAAAGGACTAGCCCACTTACGCTCAGAAAACCAAGTGAAGTCTTTTTATTTGGGGTGAGGGCAGGAGTGGAGATGGGAGGACAACAACCCATCCTGAATGGGTTTTGATAAGCATTGGCAGAAGTACCGATATCAGTGAAATCCTGGATCTTTGGAAGTAATTAGGATTACTTGGAATTTGGGAGTGAATTGTATTATACCACCTCAGAGTAATAGAAACCATTTTTGCAAGGATACTACTACCTTCCCATTCAGGATTTATTTTTTGATTTCTTTATTATAAGAATCATATAATAGCTGTTCATGTCACTCTTCTGCCCAGAAGCCTTCTGTGGTTCCCCATTGCCTCTGTGGTAAAATGGAAAGTCCTCGCCCTGATGTTTAAGAATCTCCACCATCTGGTTCCCACCTTCCTTTTCAGCTCTACTCCTATTCCTGTCATTCACGGACTGCATTCCAAGGCCAACTGCACTCCTGGCTAGGCCCCAAACTCCATACTCCATCTCCCTCATCATCTTTGCCTTTCAAAATTCTTACCGTAATAATAACTTGCATTTGTTTGGTTCTTTAACATTTGCAAAGTGTTTTCCTTGCAACAAACTTGGGAAGATGGGTAGTACAATTATTATTATTATCCTCATTTTCAGATGAAGAAACTGAGGTTTAGGGAGATGAAGTGATTTGTCTTTGATCATATTATTGTGAATGTTGGAGCACTTCCAACCTAGATCTCCTCCCTCCAAGTATAACCGTCGGTCCACCATGCCACATTACCTGTCTGTATGCTCCTCAGTGAAGCTTTGCATGATCTCCTTATTAGTTAACAAGATATTCACTCACCTGTGTAAATGCTGCGTCTCTTAGTAGAAGAAAAGCTTCCTGAGGACAGCGATGGTCTTGGTTTTGTCTTTATCTCTTCAATGCTGAGAGCACTACCTTGCATATAGTAAGTGCTCAATAAATGTTTATTGAATTGAATATAATGGTTTCTAACTAAAAGGCACATGGCATTTGCTCCTTATAACAACCCTGGGAGATTAAGGGGCATAAATATAATCTCCATTTGACAGAGGAGAAAACTGAGAGAGTGGGTAGTTTTACCCCAAGTCACCCTGCTCGTAAATGATGGAGCCAAATCCACGTGTGGGTTTTTTCTAACAATACTATTCTGAAGAGATTCTTAACTGGAAAGTTCAGAAGTTCTCATGTTTAAACTATATAACAAAATGTACAGACTTCATAACATTTATTTGATGATTTCTATTCAAGGTGCTATTTATATTTAACATAAGTTTTTAACATTTCATATCTACAGAATGATCTAATTGGTCAGAGTTTATTTGACTACCTACATCCTAAAGATATTGCCAAAGTTAAGGAACAACTGTCTTCTTCGGATACTGCTCCAAGAGAAAGACTAATAGATGCAAAAAGTGAGTAATACTATTGTCGTCATTTTATTCCGTGTTCTCAGCAGTCTGTGTTTTCATTGGAGTGGGTAGTTCTCCATTGGAGTAGGTTGCAATCTCTTTTTGCCTTAGTAGAAAGGATGAGTTGGTGTAGCTGAAAAAATCCATCCTTTGGTAGGCAGCCAGTGAGATGTGATGAATATCTCAGAGATTACATGGTCTGCTTCTTGGGAAACATACATCTGTGCCCACCCTTGGCCCCCCGCTCAGCACCTTTCCAGTTTGGTGTAGGGCTTCCTAGAGCGCGTCCTTCACTGGCACAGGCTCTGAGAACCCAGGGTTGCTTCCAGGGCATGATGAGAGGTACAAGAGGAGGAAGACAGATAAAAGCTTGTATTCAGAAAACCCTTGCAAAGACGACTCTTCTCTGGGGTTACGGTAAAGCAGATGGTACATTTTATAGACTAGGAAATGGATAGTTAAGAGAGTTTGAGTGACTTGTTCTGAGTGCACAGCCACTAAGCCCCGATGCCAAGATGTGGCTGAGTCCAGGCTTTGGATTCAGAAGCATTTAAGGCAGACTGTGCTGCCTGTCAAAGAATGACTCATTCCTCCTACACAAACCCCTTCTGTAGCAGAGTTAGATAAAGAAGTCATGTTCTTTATAAAATTCCTGTAGGTCCTTTAAACAAAGTCAATATTTACCTTGATGTTTCATTACTTAATTGTGATGGTGGGCACAAGGGAGGACAGACAGTAAAGGCTATATTGAAAAATGTGGTTCAGGGTGAAGAAAGGCTTCAGGAGTCTTATGGCTATATAGTGTATCCTCTTCATTTTGAGGGTTGAAAGCCTCTGGATGTAGTAAGCACTGCATGGCTTTTTAAAAAATTGATGTCTTTGGTTTTTATATCACCTATATTTACCAAAGTGTCTCTCCTCCCACCTCCCTCCACCTGGAGCCATCCCTTAAAACAAAGAATTCTGAAAAGAGAAAAAAAAAGCTATCTTAAAAAATAAATTGCTGGTGGACACTGGGGTCATGTTAGGATCTACTGTCTGTGCGTTGTCACATCACCCACTGGTTTGAACAAAGGTTGAAATCTGTCTCAAATAGAAGAAAGAATTTGAGAAAACACTGGATATTCTTTTACATCTGCTCCTGTCTGACATACTTAACATATGCTCTCTACTCTGAAAAATGGGAAATGGACAAAATTAGACATCATCTCCATTACCATTTCTTAGTTCAGTTTAATCAATGGAAAACACTTACTCTAATGAAGATGCCAAAAGAGTCTAGAAGCAGCCAGAGCTAAAAGCAGTGTAGGGTACAGGTTCATTTAAAAAATATTGTGGATGGTAGATTATGAGCTGTGATACTTCAAAAGACAGTTGAAGGGCAGATGAGCTGACAGACACCTTGGTATGAGGCCCCTCCAAGTCATATCAACCTGAGAGAATTTTGAGATGAAAATACAAGGAGAGCAACAAATAGTGAGACAGGAAAGCAGTCAGACCTCACTAAATCCATACCCAGAAATAACTGGTTTAAAGGCACTCACGAATCTACTGAAGGCATCCCAAAGAGAAGATTTATTCTCAAGTCTTAGCAGTAGGAAAGGATAAGTAATAAGATTCTCATTTTCAAAAAGTTATGTGTTTTGCCCAAAGTTATTCATTCAGTCCATCAACAAGTACCTACTATGTATCAGGCACTAACTGTGCGAGGTACTGAAGATAACGAAGACAAATGTGAAATATTCCCTGCCTCTGTGTGGTGTGTGTGTCTGTGTGTCTGTGTGTCTGTGTGTGTGTGTCTGTGTAGACAAAATAGAAGGTAATTGGTTGTGGTTGTTTGTGGGGAGAGTGGAGAGAGGACAAGTAGTTGAGAGGCTCAGGGAAGGCCTCACATAGATGGTGGCACTTGAACTGAGCCTTGAAGGAGACTGGGTATTTTAAGAGGCATTGGTGAGAAGACAGTGTAGTGCCTGCCATGGGACAAGGCAAAGACACAGATTTGAGAAAAAGTACCAGTTTGAGGCCAGCTTGACTAGTGGAGAATGTGTGAAGGGAGAAGTAATGTCAGTCAGTCAGTCAGCAAGCATTGTTATGTGCCAGGCCCCATACTAAGTTCTGAGGATACAGGGAAAGATGAAGGTGGTCCCTGCTCTCAAGGAGCTCAGTCTAATGGATGGTTAATGATGAGGAATGGAGACTGGAAGGATAGTTTTGAAGACAGGTTGTGAAGGGCTTCAAAAACCAAGTGCAGATGTTTGTATTTTTAGAGGTAATAGGGAGCTACTGGAATGTACTGAGTAATGGAGTGACATGACCAGACCTATGCTTTAGGAAAATCAGCTTGGCAACTGCATGCACAATGGATTGGAGTGAGGAGAGGTCAAAGGCAGCTTCAGTTGAAGTGTGTGAGGAAAGACAGGACAGATTCTAGAGATGTTGTGAAGGTAGAAATAACAACATTTGAATTTATTTTGATAAGGAGGAAAAGGGGGCATTACAAAAATATGATTACAGGAGATGGAACTTTGTGTGTGAGGAAAAGTAGGGTAGGATGGCAAAACCATGAAATGTGGAGAGGAGCAATATGGGAGAAGACTGGAAAGACAGGAAGAAGCCTGGTTTGGAAGAATTTTAAATGCCAAATTCAGAAGCCCAAATTTTTTATATTAGATCCTAGGTAATTTTTAGGTAATAAGGAGTAGGAGGGTGACATGGTCAGGCCTATCCTCTAGGAAAATCACTTTGGTCACTGGGTGGAAGATGGCTTGCAGTAGTGAGAGACTCAAAAAAGTCCAGTTATTGCATTAAATACTGTTGCACAAGTCTGTGGAAGAGGTATCATAAGGACCCATTGGGTGGTAGCTGTGAGTTCATAGAGATCATTAAACTCATGGGAACTGATGAGGTCACCAAGTAAAAGTAGAGAAGGGAAAGGGGCCAAAGACAGAGCCTTGAGGTACTCCTGCAGGTAAGGGGTATGATCTGGATGGTGAACGAGCAAAAGAGATTGAAATGGAGTAGTCAGATAGGTCAAAGATGAACTGAAGGACAGTGTCCCCTAGAATCCCAGAGTGGAGAAAAGTACCCGGAGAATTAACAATGGTAGATGCCATGGACAGGTGGAGAGGGATGAGGATCAAGAAAAGGCAGAGATCTGACAGGGAAGAGATCCTTGGTGACTCTGGGGAGAGCAGTTTCAGTTGAATGTTAAGGCTGGCAGTCATATTGCAACAGGTTAAGAAGTGAGAGAAGCATAAGTCGAGGTGACTGTAGACAGCTTTGGTAGGAGCTTGTGCCAGCCTCAGTGCCCCATGATCCACTCACTGCTGCTCCGTGTTCTTTCCAGACAACAGTCCTCAGAGTGGGGCAGTGGACTGGGTGGACCTAAGGCCTCTTCAGTCAGGGAGGCTAGGATTCTGTACATGATGCTTTCCAGTAGTTACAGTCCTATGTGTTTCTTTGCAGCTGGACTTCCAGTTAAGACAGATATAACCCCTGGGCCTTCAAGACTATGTTCTGGAGCCAGACGTTCATTCTTCTGTAGGATGAAATGTAACAGGCCTTCAGTTAAAGTGGAAGAGAAAGATTTCCCCTCAACGTGTTCAAAGAAAAAAGGTAACATTTGATCAGCTTTGCAGAAATGGTGCACGGGGTGGGAGTGTTAATATGGAAAACCTTCAGAGAGTATGAGGCATTTTAGGTATTTTCCTCCTGGCAGAAGACTTCTTTAAAGGGTCAGTTCTAATCAGTGCCATCAGCAGATGGCATGGTGACCCCGAACTCCTCTGCTTTTCTTGTGACTCTGGTGGGCAGGGGTGGCTGGGGAACATGGAAAATGAATGGCCCAGAGTTGTAGGGCCCCATACTTAGAACTCTAAAATGGAGAACTTCAAACAGCCTCTACTCTACTATGCTGTACTCATTTTGAGAGCACTTTTCACAAAAACCACAAAGACAATTCTTTTTTGTTCCTTATTCATGCAATTCGCCCAATCCTCCTGCAAGTGGGAATGTCCCCTATTTGTAATAGAGAAAAGGAGCCAGAACTGGAAGCAGGAACAAAACTACTGAACACTTGGACCTGGGCCAACGCAGAGAAAAGGAAATGCTTTCACTTTCTGGTTTTGTTTTTTTCCTCTTTGGCTCGGTCATCAGGAGTTCCTCCAGTTATAACCAGCCTCCCTGCTCCTGAGGCCCTGATGTCCAAGGGCACTCGGGGAAAAGGACATCCTTTTGACTTTCCTTTCCTAACCCAAATGCCATAAGGATGACCACTGTATAGGCGAGCTCTGGGCTCCAAAGGCTATGTTGACACCAACTATGGTCTTTGTTCTCTAGCAGACCGAAAAAGCTTCTGCACCATCCATAGCACGGGATATTTAAAAAGCTGGCCACCCACAAAAATGGGCCTGGATGAGGACAATGAACCAGATAATGAAGGTTGTAACCTCAGCTGCCTTGTAGCAATTGGACGGTTACATTCTCATGTCGTTCCACAGCCAGTGAATGGGGAAATCAGGGTGAAATCTACAGAATATGTTTCTCGCCATGCAATTGATGGGAAATTTGTTTTTGTGGACCAGAGGTAAGAGCCTCCTTGTAATGCTAAAGTAAAAATGGTGACAGAAAACGTGCAGTTGGTAAAACTAAGCGAATATAACCATTTGCCTTTTCTTGTTTTTGCTAAGATGATTCTCATCACCAGGGTCATTAGAAACCTGATTACCGGATATTTGCTGTAATTCATGAACACTTGTGGACACATTTATTTGATGATTATAGTTAAAGGTGGTTTCCATAGTAATTTCTAGCACACCTTGGAAAACAATAACCCAGCAACTTAGAATCTTGGAACTAAGAAGCATAGCATTGCCTCCTCAGGTTTTCCTAGGGTACTTTGCATGGGACTCTTCTTTGCCTCCATCACTCCCTACCTTGTATTTTATTTATCTAAGAATACCTTATAAAGTATAAGGTATATACCATATGTGCCTTAGTATATATGGTAAACTCTTTGAAGACAAGGACTGTCTTTTTTTTTTTTTTTTTTATTGGTCTTAATCTCTCCCATCCCTTGCTCATAATATGTACTTCCTAAATGCCATACTGAGTTGAATATCTGAGCTAGAAAGGCCCTCAGAGATTCATCTAGTTCAAGCCCTTTACAGAGCAGAAAACTGAGGGCCAGCTAGGGGAAGTAATTTACCCAAGGCCATTCAGGGGGTTAAGGACAGAACTGCCCCTCAGCTCAGGTCACTTCTCCCTGAAGTCCAAATTCCCTGGCTGGCTCTTTGTGATCTTGATTAGGCAATTGCCAAGCAGGACCTGTGAAATCTAAGATTCTTTATTTCCATCCAGTGCTCTTTTCCTTCCCCTACTACATGCTTATGAAAGTATTCACCTGCAGATTGCACATTGACCACTAAAGACAGCTACTGGGTTGATGCAAGAGAAGATTTATATAATTGGTGTCCAATTTTAATGTTACCAAGGGGCTAATAAAATTGAATCTCTGGACCAACATTTGGACTTTATGAAGAGCTGTCTTCTAACTTGTATGAATGCTATTGTAATACTCTTAAAATATTTTAAAGACTTTTTTTCTCCTGTTCATGTGCCCTTTGAGAGCTTTTAAAATATTTGATTGACTTCCAATAGCTGAAGAAAACGTTTATGTATGAAGCTATTTGGGGAAAATCAGCATGGCTCTTGTTTCTGCAGCATCCTGCTATGCCTCTGAACTCATTTTGCCTTTTTGCAAATGTCATTTTTAGGGCAACAGCAATTCTGGCGTATTTACCCCAAGAACTTCTAGGCACTTCGTGTTATGAATATTTTCACCAAGATGATATAGGACACCTTGCAGAATGTCATAGGCAAGGTAAGATCTCCAGTGTGTACTAACATTTAAAAAAAAAATCAATGGGCAGCTAGATGGTGCAGTGGATAGAGCTCTGGCCTTAGAGTCAGGAGGACCTGAGTTCAAATCTGGCCTTAGATACTTGACGTTTATCAGCTATGTGACTCTGGGCAAGTCACTTAACCCCAATTGCCTCACCAAAAAGCAAAAAAAAAACAAACCAAAAATCAAGAATAGATCACATAATCTCAGGATAAAACATGTTCTAAGCAGTGGAAGGTGTTTGCTTTGGGAAGCAGGGTCCACAGGCCAGGATCCACTCCTCCAAAATCCACAGGGATCCCAGCCTCCACTGAGGCCCTCTTTGGGGCATCGAGGTTAATGGAGTTCCTGAAGGCTGTGTCAGTAGAACACAGGCTCTGGTAGGTCCTACTAAACTGGAAAGACTTAAAGTAGAGGCATGGTCATTATTATTAATAATAATAGCAGTAGCTTAGCATTTCTATGTAGCACCTACACATAGTGCCTAGATGACAATGCAGTGCCAGGCACCATGCTATGCATTCTATAAATGAGGAAGCAGAGGTAGACAGAGGATAAATGACTTGCCCAGGGTCACACAGCTAGTAAGTGTCTAGGGCTGGATTTGAACTCAAGTCTTGCTGACTGCAGACCTGGAGTTCTGTTCTGTGGCACGAAGACCAGCTTCGCTAGGCTCATAGGGTTAGAGTTAGCTGTCTGGTGCCATGTTTTCCTAATAGTGGCTTAATGAAGAGAGTCACTAAAGCTATGTGAGATGGGGTTTTGGGGGGGAAGGACCCAAAGAGATACAATCACCTCCATCAGAGTGAAGCCCCAGAGGGTCATATGGTCCAGAATAGCTGCTCCAGGCCTGCGCTGTCCCAGAGACAGTCCTTGGACACCAACAAGTCTAATCCCCCATTGGGAGCAGAGGCCACTCAGCTTCAGAGAGGGAAGGCAGCCTCTCGCAGGTCCCCTCCCAGCCCGACAGCCTGGTCCTGCCTGCCACAGGTTGTGCTGCCCCTCTCCTCCCTCTGATGGATGTAAAGCAGAGTGTGGGTGCTTAGCTTTTACAGGCTTTGGAAAGTAGTCATGGATTCCCAGTTCAGTGGAAACACTGTTCTCCGAAGCTGGTGAAGGTTCACAGCTCTCCCATGAAGTTTTTACTGTCTAGTGCCATAAACTTAACAAATGACAGTGCTATGTACAATCCATGATTCCTTTGGTAATCTTCATGGCATTTTCTCTTCCTTATTTATCATGCCAGGTGGAAGAAATAGCAATGTTCACATTCTCTTTACATTTTCAGTTTTACAGACAAGAGAAAAAATTACAACTAATTGCTATAAATTTAAAATCAAAGATGGTTCTTTCATCACACTGAGAAGTCGCTGGTTCAGTTTCATGAACCCTTGGACAAAGGAGGTGGAATACATTGTCTCAACCAACACCGTCGTTTCGTAAGTGTTCCCTTTTTACCAACCTTGTCTCCGAATACGAAAATGACTTCGATTTGACTTTGCTTATTGGAGTGGGACAGAAAGAGAAAGAGAATAACACTTCCATGCTTAAATAGACAGAATGCCCCAAGATTATCAACCAAAGCTAGTGTGGGAACCAAAAGAAAGGCAGTAGGGGGAGGGAATAAGCATTTATACAGTGCTGACTACTGATCCTCACAACCTTGTGAAGTAGGTTTCACCTCATGCTCTCTCCCCTCCCTATCGCAGTTTGTGTAACTGCAACAGGAAGTAACTAAATTAGCCTTCATGTAAAGCATGAAGATAAAGCTATGTTGATGTGTGTGTTCATTTTCTTAACTTTAGTATGGGACTCTTTCTAAAGCTGCAATTTTTTTTTAAAGATGGATTCACATCAGCACCAACTTTTAGCGGTATTATCTGGAAGATTATAATTATTGACTTAAAATAATAGAGTAGATGGAACTCAGTGGGAGTAGTACAGTCTGCACAGTTAACCTTTTGAGCCTCCCCCCCCCCCACTGTAACTACATGATCTTCTGGTCATGACAGAGGATGAGCAAGGAGCACACAGCAGATTCCCAGCACAGCCACCAGGGTAGCCAGGGTCATAGCTAGTGCCAGCACCACTGGGGAGTGGACTAAAAAGGCTCCAGAATGGAGATATAGAAAAGCAGCTGATAGCCACATATTACCCATTATCAAGGAAGCCTGTCCTAAAATGTCTCATTTACTGACCTGTCAAGGTCCAGAAATAGCAGGGTCACGAAATATGATGTTAGAAAGGACTAAAGAGGCTGTCTGGCCCAGTCCACGCCTAATCTCTGCAGCATCCCTGACAGGCAGCCCTCCATCCTCTGCTTGAAGAACTCCAGTCGGGGTGATCTACCACCATCTAACGCAGCCCATTCCAGTCATGGTTAGCTCTTGCTGGCAGGAAGTTTTTCCTTAGGTTAAGCCCTAAATCCATCTTTCTATAACTTCTACCCTTTGTGCTTAGCTCTACCCTCTCATGTCAGCCTTAGGTTCACTGATTTAGAACTGGAAGGCATATTAGGGGCTTTTTGATCTACTCCCCTTTCCCACCCCCCACCCCCCCATTTTCTGGATGAACCCACGGAGACAAAGAAGCATGAAGTCCCTTCTCCAGGATCACAGTGGTAGTAAGATGTTGCCCCAGGATTTATCTAGAGCTCTTTCCCTTGTACCCCTCCCCAGCTCTAATCCCTCTACCCCTGGGCAGTCCTTGGCATAGTGGAGGACAGCTCTCATGTTTTCTTCCCTGCCCGGCCTCTAAGCTTCTCTTCTCTGGGCTGCCTAATCTCACCGTTCTTCACCATCCTGGTTGCCTTCCTAGACACTCTGTAGCTGATCAATGTCCTTCCTAAAAGCATAGTGCCCAGAGATGAACACCGTGCTCTAGCTAGATGTGTTCTGACCCCGGAGGAGTGCTGAAGGCTAAGACTTTATTGGCTTTCTTGGCTACAGCTCATGCAGCTGTCATGTGGCACTGTTGACTGACTGACTCCGCCTCTAGAGCTTCTTCACAAGATCTGCGACCTAACACGCTTCTTCCTGCATCTCACACTTTTGAAATGGATTTCTTGAACTTCAGGGTAGGACTTTACATTTATCCATATTAAAGTTCATCTCAGTAGATTCAGCTCCATGTCCTAGCATATCAAGAACCTTTTAGATCCTGATTCCGTCCGACTTATTTGCTCTCCCTCCCAGCTTGGTGTCATCTGCAGTGTCATGAGCATGCCATCTGTGCCGTTCTCCAAATCATTGATAAAAATGCCAAATGGCAGAGGGCCAAGGTCTCATCCCTGGGACCCTCCACTGGAGACCTCTTTGGACCTGACCATTCAACCAGTTCTGATTACACTAGACTTTACTGTTTATTGTAGAGCCTGTATCTCCATCTTGTCTAGAGGCATAGCATGAAAGACAAGCAAATAAATGCTTTGCCAAAATCTAAGTAAGCTATCTAAGTGGCATGACCTTGTCTCAAAACCAAATGGTTTTTTCATCACTGCTACCTTTTCTAGATGTTCATTAATTATCCCCTTCATAATGTTTTAGATTTTGCTAGGAAGAATTGAAGTCAAACTCACTAACCTAGTTTGCTCAGTCTCTTCCCCTTTGGAAAATGGGATACTTGCCCTTCTCTAGTCCTGTGGCACCTCTGCCATTCTCCAGGATCTTTCAAAGATCACTGACAAGTAGCTCAATAATTCTGTCTGCCAACGATTTCAGTACACTGGAATGTGGTTCATCCAGGCCTGGGGACTTGAATTCGTCACTGGCAGCTAGGTGCACTCTTACTGTCTTAGAATTTTTCCTGCCTGTTGTACCCTTTCTAGAGGCCTCGGAGGAAAAAAAAGAAAAGAAAACAGAACCAAACTAAGAGTTGAGCAGTTCTGTCTTCTGTCATATTAAATTATCTTCAATCCACCCTGATTAGTGATCCTCTTCCTTCTTTAATACCATTCTTTTGCCTGATAATTTTAAAGACTATTTTTGTTGTTGTTGTTATTGTTTTGTTTTTTTTAACACTGTCAGCTTTGGCCTGAGCTTTAATACTCCTGACATCCTTTTAAGACCATGCCATGCTTTTGTTTTCATCATCTTGTTACCAATCAGCCCATGCTTCTACCCTCTGTGCATGTTTTTAAAATCCAGGTTGGTATTCTGGATTCCTGTGTATCCATCAGTCTCTTACACAACTCTCCTTTTTCTTCATCATTGGAATTATTTCTCTTTGTGTCTTCAGATTTTCATTCTTGAGCTTCCCATCCCTCCAAGGCTAACTTTGCCTGTAAAATTTAAAACACGGAAACTTATCTTTTTTGTGGACCTTTTGCAATTGGGGAACATGTTAGACAACACCTGGGATTTCTTTTCTCTGATACAAATTCTAAGATGTTGTGGTCAATTCCCACCAAAGTTCCTGTCATTTATACTTCCGTAGCTACTTGTGGGTGAGAATCAAGTCCAGAATAGCAGTTACCACTTTTTTGCTTCCTCTACCTTTTAAAGGTGAACTATCAGTAAGGCAAGTCCATGATTACTGATTTTGCTAAGGTGAAAGACAAAAAGTTCTAAGTAGGCATGACTCACTTTCTCTTATTGCTGGGATGTTCACAGAGCCAACGTACTAGAAAGCGGGGACCCAACTTTCCCACAGCTTACAGCTTCCCCCCACAGCATGGATAGCATACTGCCCTCTGGAGAAGGTAATTATGTTCTTTGGGGATATTGAGGCTAGCCTCACATCACATTCTCTATTGTAATGGGACGGAAGGAGGGAGGAGGGGGGGAAGGAGGGAGGAGGGAGGGAAGGAGGGAGGAGAGTGGGAGGAAGGGAAAGAGGGAGACACTTCCATTCTCTTTCCTAAACAAATTGGGAGTATCAAAGGATCCTTATAGCTTAGATTTTTCTGTGAATCCTAGAAGGTTTTTTTAATTTTTTTTTTAAAGTTAAGTGCAGTTGTTAGCCCTGTAAATCTCTCTCTCTCTCTCTCTCTCTCTCTCTCTCTCTCTCTCTCTCTCTCTCTCTCTCTCTCTCTCTCTCTCTCTCACACACACACACACACACACACACACACACACACACACACACAGAGTTACAGGCGTCCATGTTCTTTGTCCTGTACTATGAAAAGAACACAACCACAGGATGATGAATTTCTCCATCAGCCACCACAGTACTTGAAAACTATTTACGATCAAAGAGGGACCACTGACCTGTGCCAGTGGAAGAGGCCCCCACCCCAGTGAAGTTGTAGATCTTTGAAATCTTAAACTAAAATAGTATAATACAGGTTCTGAGATGTTCTGTGTCATAGAACTAGCAATTGTAATTTGTTGAATTCACTTACTCTAAGGGAAAATAGCACTTTCCAGTTCCGTCCCCTTTCTCCCATGAATGGGCAACATTCCCGTGAATGGTTCTTTCCATCTTTCTTTGGTATAGGTGGACAGAAGAGGAGCCATCCAACTGTTCCTGGAATTCCAGGTGGAACAAGAGCTGGTGCAGGGAAAATTGGCAGAATGATTGCAGAAGAGATCATGGAGATACATAGGTAGGTAGCAGCCTCTAATCTGCTCCCCTTAAAATGAAACAATTGAAGAAGTTGGCCCTTGACACAGTGGTCCTAGCGTCCCTAAGAAAATCATGACAGTCGAGCATCATGTACAAGGAATCATTTGAGGTGCCTCCGTTGTCATTTGGTGTTTGGGACTCAGTTAGCTGTGTGCCAAATCCCATTCCATCCTAGGCCTGGGGACTACTTTGTAGGTTGTACTAAGGCAAAGAAGAGTTGGTTCTGGTGACGGAACATCTCACAACATAGTATAATCCCTCACTGGGAAGGGAGCTCTGATATCGGAATTCATGAAAATGACCCAGAATAGTTCAGAATATTAGGGACCACCATGACGGAAATTAATGAGGAGGGGCATGATAGAAGGTTCTTTATGAAAAGACATGGAATCGAGGGATTCCTGAATTTAAAACTTAATGGACCAGCCTCATGAGATAAAGAGTCAGTTATTTAACCTCTGGGAAGGGAAGCTTCGGGAACTTGGAGAATAGAAATGCTCTCAAATTTTCCTTTTGTGATGGATGCTGGCGTCTAAATGTAGGAAGCCCAACTACAGGGCATTGAAAAGCAAGATGTTAACCTGGCCTGCAACAAACACAAAGAGGACAGAGGGTGGAGTATGGGCTGAGAAGAATCCAGCATGAGGTTTCAGCAGGGTTCCCTCAAGAATCTGTACAGGCAGCTAGGGGAATGCTGTCTCCAAAAGGGAGCTAAGTTTACTGGCAGTTGTACAGCACTGGTCATCTGGCCGAGGGTATGTTTTCATAAAGGAAGTATAATTAAATACCTGAGTCCTACTTGAATAGGTATGATGTGGCAAAATGGCCAGACCTCCAAGGGGTCAGGATCAGAATCACTGTGACCTTTGAGGACAGATCCATGCTGATACACACAGCTGAGTAGTTTTCATGGGAGCATACTCAGCCCCACCCGGCCAAAGAAGGGGGTCAAGTTTGAATCTTAAAATGGACAGTGCAGCTTTATTCTAGACTGCAAGTATAATGATTGAATTCATTGATTTACCTCTTTGGCTCTGGTTAAGGAGATTTTGGGAGCAAGGATAGGGGAAGTGATAACTTAAAAGGTTTCTCCAGCCTAATAGACAACAAAAGAATGAAACCAGCTGACTGTCTGTGCCATTTGAAAGTCCAAATACCAAACCCAAGATGTTTGTGAAATGCCTGACCATAGGAGAAAGTGTTCTCCAACCAGAGTTTGAATCCCTTCTCTCCTTCCTTCCCAACTCTCACTATGACTTCCCACTCAAGCCTTCCCTTTCTGTGACAGGATAAGGGGGTCATCACCCTCTAGCTGTGGTTCCAGCCCATTGAACATCACAAGCACACCTCCCCCTGATGCATCTTCCCCAGGAGGCAAGAAGGTAAGACTTCTGAATTCTACCACCCACTGTGGTCCCCACCTCCTTAAACCTGAGGTCTCAAAGAATGGAACTGAGGTCACTGAACAATACAAGAACAGCTTTCTAAAAGAGAAGAACTGCAATTATTTTGATTCTTTAATGAGCACTGTAAGACTTTATATGCATATGTGCTCATGTATATTCACATAAGCAGACATACATTTACGTGCATGTATTTGCTTATGTAAGTCATTGCACGTGTCCAGGTATAAAATCGTACAAGCATGTTTACAGTGGTATATGTACACCTTCAACTGGGGGATAAAGCCTATTTGAAATGTCTCCTCCTGGGTTTGAAAGGATGAAATTTATATTACTGCACTTTGTGGGGAAATGAGATTACCAGCCTGAAAATTCAACTACTTGAAGACAGTGACCAGTCCTATGCCTATCCCCTCCCCTCAAGTCTTGTCTACTCCAGGTTAAACAGACCCAGTTCCTTCACTATATCTATGAGGGCATAGAAGCCAAGCTGAAGATTGTGACACACTGAAGATTGTGAGCTCTCACCAAGAGTTCTCCTTGGGGAGGCCTCTTCCCACCCCACCTGAAGGGCTATTTTCCCCTGCTTTGTATATTGTTTTCTGAGCATATATGCATTCATCTGTTTTCATATTTGTCCAAGAAAAGGGTTCAAAAACAGTCCAAGAGTAAAAGTAGCACTTCCAGAGTGTATGTGGGAGTTGGCCACCCACAGCATAAGCCACATGACTAATTTCTCCTGACGTATGGGCTGTTCCCTCTTGTCACCAACCTACCAGACCCCAAGTCACCAAAAGAACCTCTCTTATCCCAGTGAATCTACATACCCACCACCCTGTGCTTGGAAATAGGTGGAGTTTGCAGTAAGTAATAGAGACCATAGACTACACAGAACAGAAGTGTTAGGGGGCCAGGTGTCATGGAACCCAGAATGGGGGTTGGGAGGAACTTCAGAGGCCATCAGGTTTGCTGAACATCTGGAAAAGAATCCCTGTTAGACCGTACCTGACAGGTGAGATCTTCTGACCTCTGCCTGAAGACTCCCAGTAAGGGGGAACTCCATCTCCCAGGGCCATCCATTTGACTTTTGAATATCTCTAATTGTTAAGATTTTCTTCAGTTAACTCCAAACCTGCCTCTTGGTAACTTAGACCTTTAGTTCCCAACTCTGCATGCCCTGTCACCTTGACAGGCACTCCACTACTTTAAGACAGATATCATTGCTGTACCTGCCTCCATCCCTCCACCCCCACCTACTCCACATTAAATAGACCCATTTCTTTCACCGTATTCTCCTATGGTATAGACTCAAGGTCCTTCACTCTATAGTCATTCTGGTCACCTTCCTCTGGACATTTTCCAAGTATCAGTAGCTTTCTTAAACCCATAACTGAATGTAATCCTTCATATATTGTCTGACCAGAGCAGTATCCAAGGACGTAGTTCATCTTGACCAGGTAACTTGAATTCACATTTCCTTATTTATTGTGGCTCCCAACTCCCTATTATCCTATTTTTTGGCCTGTCCCTTTCAGCCAAAAAGTTGTTCTTTCCAAAGAAAACAGAGCCCGAGTAATTACTTGATGGTGCATGTAGATCTTTCCTTCTGTGGGATCTCTTCTTTGATCCTCCTGGTTCTCCCCACCTTTTGGGTAGTGCTCAGCCTGCCCTACAAGCCTCAGCACATGCTGAGCTTTTAACATTCCTGATTCTAGTAAGATTCTAATGAGAGCCACTTTGGGGATTCATCCTGTTGATATCAGGAAGACCTTGCTTCCATCTTCTCTACGTGTCTTTTAAAAATATAAACTGGTTAGTGAATACTTTCTATTCAGAGCAGTCTCTTCAGACAAATCCCATTTTTCCTCATTGTCGTTGTTTCCCTTCATGTTTTCAGAATTTCATTCCTAAGAGTTTTTATCCCTCCTGAGCTGAATTTCTTCATAGAATTTTATTTCATAGGATCCTACCTATCCATTCTCTGTGCCGTTTTAAAATACAGCGTGCATAATTGCATTACATCTGGCTTTCCTATCACAGACTTTTAATTGTAATGGTCACTTCCTCCTAAGGCTCCCTCACTTCCACTCCAATAACCAATTTTCCTTTCTTTCAAAGGTAAGTGACATCATTAAGGCAAGTCAAAAAGTTATTAATTATCTCTGCTTTTGGTAGACAGTGTTCCAGGAGATGGATAAATACCCCAAGTGTATCGATACGTGCCTTTTTTATCAGGTTTGTCATCTCTCTACACACTCTCCAGCTGTGTCTTCTTTTTGTGCAGGGGGTCTGTCATACCCAAAGACAAAATCAGTCGCGTTTGTCCCTCCGCTGATCTTCGTATGAATATTCCCCACCGTGCTTTTATTCTCTGGTGTCACTTACAGTGTTGCTTCTTCACCCTCATACACCCATTCTCCCTTTTTCTCCCCACTTCCCCACCTGTGTTACCTATCTAGCAGTGCCCCCCTACTCAGTCTCAGTGATACAGAGGTGGTTTCATTTTCCTCTTTGCATTCATCTTGCTTGGTGCTTATCCTAATTTGAAGTTGTGGTTTTGCTGCTGTCTTTTTTCTTGAAGTTTGCCTCCTGTGAAACCGTGTGCCTCAAGTGCTGTTCTAGCTCCATTATAGTTATCATGGAGATGGCTTAGCAGTTTTCAGCCTTTCCTATCTTTCCCATTTTGAAGCCCTTTTGATTAGATATGCAAGATGCCATATAAATGCATTCCTACGAGCCTCTGATAGCTATGCTGTATGTCCAGGGGTCTGTCAGTACCATTCTTTAACCCATGATTTAGAAATCCAGATTCCAATCTCTCACTTCATTTTCTCAACCTCCAATCTTTTTTTTCTCTTTTAAAGCCCTCCTTCAGTGGGCAGCAATGAGGAAAATACCATCAGTGCTCCAAGTGGCCTTCAGTTTTTCATGCAAGTCTTGGTAGTCTTTGGCAACACTGCCACAAAAGAAATCCAGAAAGCATCATTTGTGCACATATGAATCACCAGAAATGGTAGTATCCATCCATCTTAATTGTTTTATCTTGAATACATGAGCCAGGAAGACAAGAGATCTTTTGTGTTGTTATTCGTTGCCCCAGTATCCTGTTTTCTAAGGTCGCTGCCTCTCATTACCACATTCATGGTTAGTTCAGAAAGTAAGCTCTATATCAGGATCCAGTTAAAACCACAATAAATACACATTCATTAAATGTCTGCTGTATGCTTCTGTTTGGAGGCAGAGTAAAATACATAAAAAATAATGAGATAAGACTAGATAAAAGGTACGGCACTGCCAGGTGGTGTACCAGGCAGAGGAGTTTGAACTTGATTCACTAGGCATTAAGGAAACCCCTAAATATTTCTGAGCAGATGGGAGGTATGACAGGCAGATTGGAAGGGGGAGAGAATTGAGTCAAGAAGATAATGTTAGGAATCTGCTGTGGTCTGTAAAATAAACAGATGATATGAGGTGAGTTACCTCACTCATCACTGGCAGTAGTGGGAATAAAGAGGAAGGATGAGAGAGATGTGTATATAACATTTTCAGATTCGCAAAGCATTTTACATCTGTTATTTGATGATGTTAGGAGGTCTGGGAACAAGAATCAAAGATAACCCTACCATTTCATATATGGGAGACAAAGTGGATTGGGGTGCCAGAAACAGAAAAAGTAAAGTCGTAAGGAAGACCAGTGTTTGGGGGATAGATAATATTTATGTCCAGTCTATTCAAAGAAAGGAAGTTCCTATGCCATCTTTCTGATGAACCCTAAAGCAACCCTAAACTCATCTCTTCCCCCTCTGCATTTGCCATTCAGCTGACCAGAGTCCTTTAAACCTTTTATTCATTAGCAATTCTTTGAGTACTTTACAAACAGCCTCTCAGAGTTGAGAGAGTTTGATTAGATTTTTTAAAGGCAAACTTCAGTCTAATATCTATTAAGTGCCTATTATGTGCATAGCATAATAAATAATACAAGTAATAGGACTTTTCAGTTCAGATCATTTCTTGAACAATCATTGTCAGCTGCTAGTGCACCAAGTGAGATACAAAGAATTCAATATGATGGAGGATACTTATTAAGTATCCAATTTTGGTGGAGACAGATATGGACATGGACATGGACATGGACATGGACATGGACAAGAACTGCAGAGGATGAGAATGCATGGGTAGATTCTAATCTGTCATCTACAACACCCACAGTAGGAACACCCACAGTGATAAGCTTAGATCCACGGAAGGAAGTGTCTGTGTAAGGCTCTGTGGGTACAATGCTAATTAGATACAGTCTTGTTCTCTTGGAATATTTCTATGCAAAAAGAGAAAACCTGGACACAATAATCAGAGCAGAATGCTAAGTGTTCAAGGTTAGGACAGTGTTACAGAAGCAGTACAGATGAAGACGATCACTTCTTATTGGAAGAGGGGTTGAAGTGGGAACCAGTTCTAGGCACAGGGAACAATTCAGCAAAGGTACAGAGGAGCAAAAGTGTGGGTTGTACCTGGAACAATAAGTCTTCATGGTTGCTGTGATTGGATTTGAAGTTTTATTGTTGATAACAATTTTGCCAGTTACCTACTTGGGAAAAGCTGTAGAGCTAGTAGTTCATCAGTCTTAAATTAGTTTGAAAATGGGGGCACTGTGAAGGTCCAAAGCCATAGAGAAGGCCTCCAGGGCCTTCCCCCTTCAGGCATAGCACATTTCTCTGCAGCTAGCTTCTCACCGTATCCTAGTTATAGAGAGCTTTTTAAAATGTCCGCCTCCTGGATATATAAAAGGGCAGAAGGAAGGGGGGAGAATCTCCCCATTGTGCCACTATCCCTATCACAATGCCTAGTGTAAGAGGCTCTTAATAGAGGTGGGTTCATTTGATGATTCTAGGTCTGAATGCAAATCTAAGAGCATCCTTTAAGTTCTACGTTTTTACCTGTTTCCCTGGCTTGGAGGTGTTGGAGTAGTTGTGTCATTCTTCCCTATCATTCTGAAAGACAAAGTTGGTAATCAACATCGACGATATGGGCCTGTTAACATTTAGTGGTCAAGATTGGACATTAAGCAGTAAATTCTAAGGTACTACTAATACAGAGAGAGTTCTTCACCATGGACTGATGGTCCTGAACCAATAAACAGAGAACGATTTTACGAGTGAAGATTTTCTTCCCCCACTAACTTTTGTAACATTTTTTTAAAAAAATTACCACAAGAAATTTTCCAAGTTAAGGCTATTTCAAATGGCCTCTGTTTTTTTTTTTCTTAGTGATCATTCTGCTTGTATAACATTTGAGTTTAAATAATGAAAACTCCTATGCTTTTCTCTGTTTGATAGATTTTAAATGGAGGAACTCCAGACATTCCTTCTGCTGGACTCCTACCAGGGCAAATCCAAGATAACCCTGGCTATCCATATTCTGACAGTTCCTCTATTCTTGGTAAGTAGCATTGATAATAAATCTCTTCAATAAACCTGGCAAATACAGTAAGGTGGTTTTTTTTAATGATATTTAAGAGTTTTTATACAAATCAGCTTTGTCTCCCTGAAGGTGTGGCCCCATTCCCCCATCCCAGATCCCACCACCCCAAATTTTAGCAGCAAGTTAGGCTAGTACGAGTAGGAAGTTAGTAAGCTAGTATAGCTTGCAATGTGGGCTAGGGCTTTGAGAGGGGAATTTGAAGTTTTGGGGACAAAAATAATAGCTGAGGAGTTATAAACAATAGTCAGTCACCTAACTTCTATTTAAAAAAGAACCTACAGAGCTTTTCTCCCTAATCTTCCTATTTACCTTTCTCTTTTATAAATCAGTCTCTGATCTCCCTTTTTTCTTCCTCCTCTGTAACAGACCCTTCTCCCTTTTAATTAATATGGAATTGAATTATATTTTAAATGTTTCTGATATCCACAGAATTTAGCTGTGTTCTTAAATCTAAAAATTTGGTGATTTTATCTTTCTCCTACAATCTTAATAGAAAAAAAGGGCCCCCGCCTCTGCAATAGAGAGAAAGATTTGCTTAAAATTAACACTGAGTTCAGAATACCAAAAGTTTGATGTAGGAATTATACGAAGTGATTTTGACCACTAATACGTTTGTTTTCTATTCAGGTGAGAACCCCCATGTTGGTATAGACATGATTGATAACGACCAAGGTTCCAGCAGCCCCAGTAATGACGAAGCAGCCATGGCAGTCATCATGAGCCTCTTGGAAGCAGATGCTGGTCTTGGTGGCCCTGTGGACTTCAGTGACTTACCTTGGCCACTTTAAACATTACTGTATAGTTGCTTCAGCAACATCTGCAGTATGAAAGTGCATTATTGGTGGAGTTTGACCATCTGTGAAGTTTCTTGGATAAAGAGATAATAGCTTTTATGTTCAAACTTCATAAAAGCTATCTCAAAGCCATTGATACAAGTCAATCCTACTATGTGTAACTTAAGACAAAGTGGAACTAAAACCGCTACAGTGTTTCTGCATCATTGATTATTGAGCTAGCTGTGAATAGCTTGCATTAACTGTATATTTTGGATTCTGTTCGTGTTGAATTTTTAAATCATTGTGCACAGAAGCATCATTGGTAGCTTTTATATGCAAACAGTCATTTCAGATGTACGGTGTTTTTACACTACAAAGAGGTCCCCCATGTGGACATTTCTTATACTAATTGTATCATAAAGCTGTTTATTCTTTCTTGTAAGAATCCTTTACTATAAATATGGGTTAAAGTGTAATGTATTAGACAGTTAAATATTTTTAAAATAAATGTTTCCTTTGTTCTATAAAATACTATTTACTTTTTAAATAAGTAATTTAAAAAGAACATTTCTGTCACTAACTTTAACTATCATGATGATTATCATGCTCTCCATTCCCTCTTTACTTTCATGGTAAACGACTTAGTATGCTTTCCCTTTGGCTCAGGTATTTACAGGTTATGTTTTCACTAAAATGGAACCACAATGTTCATATAGACATTAATTCTGAAAGCAAAAATGATGTATCACAGACATTTTAGCATCTATCCTTGAAATTTAAGTTCAGAATTTGATTCTCAGCATTATTTTGGTTTATGATAACTAGTTATGGATAACAATAATTATTCTTTCCACTAGCACCCTTAGGTAATGCTAGAAGGATTGGAAATGGTATACCCTCTGGGGCAGCTAGGTGGTGCAGTGGATAGAGCTCTGGCCTTGGAGTCAGGAGGACCCGAGTTCAAATGCGGCTTCAGGCACTTGACACTTATTAGCTGTGTGACCCTGGGCAAGTTACTTAATCCCATTGCCTAGCCAAAAAAATAAAACCAAAAACACCTAGTCCAGGAAATGGTGTACCCTCAATTCTAAAGCACCTAACCTTTCAGTATCCTTGGGGATCAGGAGGCTTGTTATATGCAAGGTACTATTTGCTAGTTTGAAGGCAGTGCCATAATGTAATATAGCTGTGATGATTATTAGGGGTCTGCCTTTATGCCATCCAAACAGGAATGACGAAGCAAACAATCTGCTGATTCTAAGAATTAATAATCTGGTCAGAAACATGAAAACAATGTAAGTTTATTTCAATGAAAAACTCAAGTTTACAATCATTTAGTAAACGAGAAGTGAACACTTCATTCCTATCCCATGACATTTATGAAAACACCTTGTCAGTAAATAAATATCTGTGAACAGATTAAGGGTAAGGCAGACTGGATGATAAATCACCTCTGCTGTTCACATCCCTGCATGTGACTCACACAAGATAAGTGAAAAACTGCACTAGGAAACAGACTAAACAGCTACTGAATATCACCCTAATCACTCAATGAGCCCAATGGTAAATACTTACTTTGTGCTCACTCAACAGTGAGCAGCAAAACCTACTGCATTTCCATCTTTTGCTGAAGAGGCTTTGATAGAAGCACTTGTTTAAATTTGTATTGTGCATCACAACTATAAAAAATGGCTTTAAGAATTCCACGGAACCACCATTTATAAAGTGCTACTATCAAAATTATGTTACTGCATTTTGTCGGGGCTGTGGCCAACATCTATGGTAAAGGTACACGAGTACCCCCTACTGCCAATCCCACCATTTCTAAATGTGAGAGAACCGTCCAGCATACAAAGAACCAATTTCACAAACCTACTGGTAAACAAATACATTTATATACGTGGAACCTCAGGATGTCAAATTGATACCTTTGGTCTTTTAAAAAAAAAAGTCCACACTGCAATCTCCTAAACACTGGTGTGTGCATTTCACAATGAAGAACAGTGGCATTGCAGTGCCGAAGAATGAGGGCAGCATCACTGGTGAGAGGAGCATGCTAGCATTTGTGAGACGGGCTGCCTCCATCACAGCATTGGACTCTGTCCTTCAGAATCCATCTCATTGCTGCCAGGAGGAGGAGGAATAGGGAGGATATCCAGCTCATCCACTTGGGGTGTCGGATGCATGACCACCAGCTGGTCCTGGGGAATGTCTGCGGCAGCTGCTGCGAGGTTTGTGATAGACTTACTTTTCACACATTGGAAGTCCACATGCCGACTTTTTCCTTCCTCCTTCTCCCAGGACATGCGAATAAATGGTCTTTGGACGTAGTTGTAAATTACTTCTGGGCGCCCACCAGGCCTCTTCTTGACTTTCTCTTTGTAAGTGGGATACCCTAAAGGAAAAGATTTTGCACAAATGGATGAAATACATAACTTCTTGGAACCCCAATTTTCTTCATCTATACTATCTGCAAATTAGACTAGAAGATTTGTAAAATCTTTTCTTGCTCTCACATTAGGGGATCTATACTTTTAACACATCAGAACAGCAGATGCATGACAAAGTCATGCACTCAGTTAGACATGGAGTCAGGAGACAAAAGATTCACACATAGCCTCACACACTTTACTATAACTGCAGTCGTGGGAAAGACGGGAGACAGTAGCCTACAAGCCTCAGTTTAATGATGATAATACTTGCAACAGCTACTGTCTCGAGGTTGTAGTGAGGAAATGCTTTGCAAACCTTAAAAACCTATTAAACTAGTTGTTATTAAGAGAAAATAGGAAGCATTTCTTTTTGCAAATCAGTTAAGCGTATAGTTTTACTAATAAGCAGAAAGAAAAAAAATATGGAAGTTTACATTTTACCAGTTAAATGGGGCAACTTTCAAATCCCTCTCCTTGGACAAAAAATTCAAGAGAATGAAATTCCACCTACCCTAAAACCACAGTTTCAAAAACAGATGGCTACCTCTTGAATCAAAATCCTACTTTCCTTGCTGACTTTTTAATGAAACAGCTTCTCCCTTGTCCCTAGGCTTACTAGCCTATTTATTCAAACAGTATTGACTGAGCACCTGACCTGCATTTAAAAAAAAAACAAAAAACAAGGCAAGGTGTCCTAGGGCTGTTCATGATAAATGCCAAAGAAGTAGGGTAGATCAGGAAAGCAAAGATGACCACCCAGGGAGAGGTACAGAAGAGATAATGCTAAGAAAGCTTTGAGGAACAGGGAAGGATTCAGAAAGGTGGAAAGAGTATATTAGGCAGAGAAAATGATGTACACAGGATCACAGATCCAGAACAAGAAGGAACTTCAGAGAACATCTAGCCCAATCTTCTCTCTCTCTCCTCTCCTGTCCTGTCCCCTAACCTTAGGGTATTCTGCCCAAAGAAAGGTAAATTGTGATGGCTGAAAGCTACCCAGTTAACTTGGGGTTTACTGGCTTGATTTCTTTCTGAAAGACCAAGCCTTAAACCCAATTCACTCTGGAGCTCATAGACTGGACAATAGGTCCCTGCCCAAGCACCTCTTAATGGTTATTTTTTGGGCCCTCCAGGCACACAGTGAAGGTAAATAGGAACTTTCTCTTTTGGCCAACAACCCTGAGGGTCTTCTCCTCCCAGTTTGATTTTTTTCTTTTTACATTAAAGGGGCCATCCCTAGACTCACTCCTTAAAAAGGCCTAATTGACTGAATGAGTGTTAACTCAAAGTGAGAACCTGAAAAGACCTTAGCTTAAAAGGGCCAAGGTCTCCCACTGCATCCTAGGCCATCTCCAGTCATCCTGATTGATATCTGGCCACTGGACCCAGATGGCCCTGGAGAAGAAAGTGAGGCTGGTGACCTTGCATAGCCCTCCCTCACTCAAATCAATGTCAACTGCAAGTCATGTCATCATCTCCCTGATGTCATGGTCCTCTCCAAGAAAGGACAAACCACAAAGCCCACCTTATTACGAAGGAGGAAAAATCGGCCCTAGGGTCACATACAGTGTCAAAAGCAGGGTATGAAACCCTGATGCCAGGCTCAGACCTCTTCCCACCATACCAAAACGCCAGAGTGTTAACTCTATAAACTGTAGTTGGGGAATGCACAAGTCATGCTAAAGGAAAACTGGGGTGGGGGAGGTGGGGTACACATATGCTGGGCAATGAGAGAGCCACAGCTTACAGAAAATGGTTTACGTTCAGGACAACGGAAGACTCATTCTTCATTGGGGTTACTAGGTGGCAAAATAAAATGGAAAGGAATGTACATGAGTCATGTAGGAAGACTGACAAACAAGAAGTACCCTTTTCTCTAGACTCAAGCTACCAACAAGGTCTCTGAAAGACTATTTGAAGGGCACACCATTCAAAGTTTACCTGCTCCTAGCTGTCACTCAAACTATCCAAAAATGTACATCACACATGAAACTGGAATTGCTCTAAACAGAAATATCCACATATACACAAATCAAGAAAACCGTGTGAGTTGTTTTGCTTTGTTTTTGTTTAAATCTCTAGGAAATTTCCCTGAGACAGAGGTCCTGTCTTTAATAAGGTATTTGTCCACTAGATGGAGCACCAAACCCTTTCAGCCCTATAAACTCTACATCAGGTCCGTCTTGACCTTCACCTTGACCCTTAAAAACATGTGTGACCTTGGGCAAGTCACAACCTCTGGGCCTCAGTTTCCACAACTGTACAATAAGGGTACTGGACTGGATGGCCTCTGAGGTCCCTTCCAGCTCTAACGCTATGAGCCTAGTAAACTGTATGTAGTTACTTACATCATCAGGTATGAGCGATTCTAAAAAAAAAAATACAAAATGGCCTATTTTGTAGTAATCAGAGTGGAAAGTAAATTAGCCAGAATTTCTCATTTATTTAAAAGGGAAAGAAAGCCAATACCCAAAACACCATTTTCTCAATGCAGCAATGCTGCCTATGTTTCTTAGAACCGGAAAGGCAAGAACTAACTTCACAGTAGGAGAGAACAGCCCTGTGCCCCAGGCCCACTTCCCCACGTTCTGGGTCTCTTCCTATGCTCTGTCACAGAGTCAATCAAGCCAGTACGTCGACTTCTCAGATGATGAGCACGCTGGCTAGATCTCAGAACTTTTAAGACACTGGAAACGAAGCAACAAGAGCATGGAAACGATATGCTCAGTCATTACAGCGTCCCAGAGAGTGAAGACCCCCTTCAGCTGGTTATTCCCCATGTTATAGACCAATTCTCATCTCCTATTTTCAAGACTATCTCATGATTCAAAATGAGTATCTTCCAAGGTCAAAATCCTCTCCCCATACTCTCATTTTTATCTATCTCAGCTCAATCTCTCCAAAGTCTGTATCATCTTTGGCCTTCCCACTATGGTACAGGGAAAACAGTGTTGGATATGGAGTCAGAAAAGCTGACTACCATTTCCTATGTGTGTGATCATGAGCAAGTGACGATCTTTCTCAGCAGACAACCTCGAAGGACCCTTCCA